TTTTTTTGATTCATGGTAGAGACGAGGCTAGCCTCAAACTCCTGAGCTCAGGCAATCCTCTCACCTGAGCCTCCCAAAGTGCCGGGATTATAGGCCTGAGCCACTGCGCCCAGTCATGTACATACATATTAAGTAGATATATTAAATCAACACGTATGTTTGTGTTAAATCAATATGCCATACAATAAGTTACATATATGAATATACGCAGTCAGCCCTCAGTATCCATGGGGTGTGGGTTCCAACACTTCCTGCACACACCAGATCCAGGTATGTGATCCCTGACACAGAATGGCACAGGATTTGCAAATAACCCACGCACATCCTCCCGCGGGCTTTAAAGCATCCCCAAACACCTTATAATACCTAAGACATATAAATGCTACAAAAATACTGCTCAGGGAACCCACAAGAGATGTTGTTTAGGGAATTAAAAACAAGAAATCAAACTACATGCTAGTACAGATGCAACATCTTTGCTGTTTTATATTTCGATCTGCGGTTGGTTGAACTCACGGATGCGAAGGCCAACTGTACATTCTGTTGTTCTGTTTTTCTGGAGAGCCCTGACACTGGTCATTAACTCTACCACCCACCTCACCTCACCATACCTCGGCCTTCTCATCTGTGCCAACGTACCCACTGCACAAGGTGGCCAGGAGACAAAAGGAGAAGCCCGAAAAGGCCCTAGGTGACAGGGAGCACTCAGTAACTTGTCACCCAACACCAGGAGGCCTCCGACAGTGCCTGATGCATCCTGGACTCTGCAGCCCAGCCCGTGACTGCCGGCCCTGCATAGACCCCTCTACTCTTCTGGGTGAATTTCCGAGAATGGGACCCTCTGCAGAGCAGCCCTCTCACCCCAAGAGCCCACTGGGGGAGGAGGCGGTTAAATCTCCCATCCCACCAGGCCACCTCCTCCATGAAGCCTCACTTGCTTTCCCAGCTGAAAGTGACTGCTCTCTCCTGAACACCCAGCCATCTCCCCCAGCTCTCTCAGCGACTGGTCCCTGGGCGCTGCACGCTGTTGGAGGCTAGCACGTTTCAGTCGACGCACGTGGCCCGTCACTCACCCTCAGCACTGCAGCCCATGGGATTCACTGTCATGTGCTCAGTGATCTCTTGCAGCATGTTTCCCACTGCCTGATGCTGGGGAGACAGGCAAGGGGCAAAGTGGACCCAGCCTGAGGACAGGCCTCATGGAAGAAAGGACACTGTGTCCAGTGCTGAAGCATGCAGTGGAGTTGGCCAGAGGACAGGGTAGGGAGAGACAGAGAGAGCTTTCCAGATCGTAGCCCCAGCCAACCTGGGCTGAGACAGGAGACTATAAAAGTTAGGACACGTTCCTAGAAGATTGGAAAGAGGAAACTGAGTCAGAGAGCTCTACGTTCCCTGAGTGGGTGACCAGTCAGCAATCTATGAGAAGAAAGTCCTGTCCCTGGTCCTGAGGGGCTCAGTCTGGCTGGAGTGGAGGGGAGTGGGTGGGCGAGGGGCTGACAAGGACCAGAAAGGGCCTTGAGGGGTCCTTCATCAAGTATGCAGATTCTCCGGCAGGTGAAACTCTCCTCTGAACCCTGACTAGGGCTACATTCACTGGACCACACCGTCCAGGGGTCCAGTAAACAGAACTTACTGGAAGTCATTCAGATGGCGGTTGCTGGGCCCAAGACGCATTAGTGCAGCAGGGACAAGGCTAGTCACACCTCAGGGGGTCACCTCCCCACAGAGGGCTAGGGCAGGGTAGGGGCAAGGAAGAGGAAAGGGAGGAGCTGAAAGAAACAGCTGGAGGCAGAAGGGGCAAGGGACCAGCCTGCTCAGCGGGTGCCTGCCTTGCGGCCTTCAGAATCTCTTGCCGGGTGTCTTGTCAGACTGCCAGTGCCCTGGGTCTCCTTCAGGCTTACGTTATTATTACTATTTTTTCTTTAAGTTTGTGTTTCACTCTGTTGCCAAGGCTGGAGTGCAGTGGCACGCTCACAACCACCACAGCCTTAACCTGCCTGGGCTCAGGCGATCCTTTCACCTCAGCCTTCCAAGTAGCTAGAACTACAGGCGCGTCCTACCACACCCAGCTAAGTTTTGAATTTATTGTAGACATGAGGTCTCACCATGTTGCCTAGGCTGGTCTCGAACCCGTGGGCTCAGGCAATCCTCTCGCCTCCACCTCCCAAAGTGCTGGGATGACAGGTGTGAGCCACCATGCTCGGCCAGTCTTACATCATATTTGGGGGCTGCAGGAAGTTTTTTTGTTTGTTTTTTTTTGTTTTTTGAGTTGGAGTCTCACTCTGTCACCCAGACTGGAGTGCAGTGGGCTGCTCCGGGCCACCGCAGCCTCGACCTGCTGGGCTCCGGCGATCCTTCCACCTCAGCCTTCCAAGTAGCCGGAATTACAGGTGCGCACTACCACGCCAAGGCTGATTTTTTGATTTATTGTA